ATGAAACATGTAAACATACTAAATAAGAAAATGGGACGCAGTGTGTGGAAGAATGCTTGAGAGAGCCTGGAGGTGAACAGGCAGGCACTTATTTTCAAGCTACATTTTAAAAAGAGCTCTCAAATCTCTTTACAAAAAATATGCCTTATGGATAATTAAAGACACTTGATCCATAACAGCATTTTCCTACCTCCATGCTAGGTCTGCTAACTTCTTTCAGTCAGAAAAGCACTCAAATTTCCCAACACAGATGCTGACCTTGTTTATGGAACTGGAGCCTACTGACACCAAAGCTGTTCTAAAATTAAAGTTCAGGTGTCTTTATAGTGGTTTACAGTTTGAAATACACTGCTATCAGCATGTGATTAAATCTCACTGAACTCACTCAAGGTTAAGTATCTTTTTCCAGCCTCAAGTTTGGGTTTATTTGATCCCGGGACTCCAGGGTCAGTCACATAATGAAAGCCACAGTTTTGTTTGGAGATTTGCACCAGTAGGAGTGTTGCTGATGGACACAGAAGATGCAGCTAAACTGCAAACAGAGAAAAAGACATTAAAAGATGGAGACCATTTTAGCCAGTGCTGATTGTGCAATAGTCAGGACTTTGAGATCTGGGAGACAGCTTTACAGCTACATTATCATCCCTTGCTGCTGTGGGCACATTTAAATCAATACAGAATGGGATTTCTGATTAGTCTGAGCATTTCCCTTTTTTTCTTCATGGCAAGAAGGATAAATCCCTCAGAGAATCAAAAGCAGACAAAAATTGCATAGCATGGCAGCAACCAGGCACAGAGGTAGACTCTGTTAGTTGCCCCAAAATCAAGAGTCAAAACCACAGCCTTCAATATGAGGTATATTTTGAATAATTGTGTTAGTTCAATGTTTTCTTTGCATTTACTTACTAACTTTCATCAGCTGGGTAGATAAAAATTGCAGAAAGCAGAGGACTTGCTCCCATCATTAATCCCAAAATTTTGGTTTTAAAAGGGTGGTCAACTTTCCACAGAGTAACTGTGTGATAGACAGATTAATAACAAGCAAAGCTTGTTCTTATATTTGGGGGTATCCTCAACCTCAGTCTTTTTCTTCACTCCGTCTTCAACATTTCTGAATAAGATGATGTTTCTAGAAGTCAGACCAATATTTAAGACTTGTAAAATAAGGGAAAGATGAATTCAAAACTGAACTAGCACACATCTAAGGTGTTTGTCAATCTGCAGTATGAATGGAAAATGGGGAGTAAAAAGTAGGGACAGAAAATTAAGATATGCAAATAATAATTATAAAAAAATTAAAAAGTGTCTTATGTTTCTACAATCACTCTATAGTTTCCTGATGAATCAAACAAACTAGAAATTCAGTTTCCAGACACAAACAAGAACCCCTATAGAGATTCACCATTTCAGTGTCTTCTGCTGGTCATACCCTGTAATATCCTCCACAATGAACCTCTCAGTTGGACTAGAGAGAAAATGGAAGCTTGGTACAAAATGAACTAAATGAGATAGGGATCCCAACCATTTTTCTTAAAATATAAATTGCAAAGGAGGCTATGGAAAAGCAAGATAGAAGGAAGTCCTAAATCAACCATTACATACTTCATTAATTGTATAAAAGTGCAAGATTAAAATAGTTTGGGTTAAGCATTCAGTTCACTGTAGGCCACACAAATGCTTAGCTTGGCCATCAATGGCCCAGTTTTGTCATTCAGTTACTAATATTAGTTTACACCACAGAAAGAACAAAAACTGAATGAAAAAACATATGCAATTCACTTCAAAATGGTTAGCTTTCTGTGACCAGCACGAAATATTATCTCGGTATCATCAGCTATACAGTATATACATAAAAATATTGAGTCAATCTTTGTTTCAACAACTTAGAATAAAGCTGTACTAAACACTATTCCCCTAGTGTGCCAACTCTTTGCTCTGTTCCGGCTGATGGGCCTAGTAACACCGAGAAGTCCTTTTATAGCAATGGTGCTTGGAGTGATCCATAATTTTGACACTTCAGCCACAGTAACTGTTGAAATGCTTTATTCAGCCAGGCTAGGTGATCACATGCGACTGCCCAGTGCTCAGTCAAAGCTTCTTGGGTGGCTCCACAAGAAGAACAGGCCATATTCCAAAAACAAACTGTTAAAAGAAAAATAATAAGAAGAAAAAGATTCCTTGGAATATTACAGGTTTTGAAACAGAAACCAAACACTGTTAAACATTATGTAGTGACAGAAGGGGAGACGGCTTTAAACTGAAAGGGAACAGGTTTAGATTGGATATTGGGAAGAAATTTCTACTGTGAGGGTGATGAGGCACTGGAACAGGTTGCCCAGAGCAATTCTGGCTGCCTCATCCATGGAAGCATTTAAGGCCAGGCTGGATAGGTCTTCGAACAACCTGGTCTAGGGGAAGGTGTCCCCACCCACGGTAGGGGGTTGAAACTAGATGATCATTAAGATCTCCTTCAATCCAAACCATTCTATGGTAATTTCAACTGCATTTCTTGGGATGTAAGTAGAAGTCAAAGCCAGTACCCTCACGGGCATAATTACTGAGCCCCAACACAAGTTCAAAGCACAAGATATCCAAATGCATTAATGAACATAAAATATTGTTTGCTTACCTTCACCTTTGGCCTATGTTTCAGGAAAAGTGTCCTTGTGTATAAACTGAGGAGAAGAAGAAAGCCGTGCTTAAAATTTCATGTATAAAACAGCATATGAAGTAATAATGATGTACTAATCCCAGTTTTATTTTCCAATTAGAAAAGAATGTTTCTGTGATTGCAGAGCTACCCATCCTGCCTAGATTTACTCAAAATAGGAGACACTGGCTTACAATAAATCCCTCTGTACTAGACTATGATCAGCAAACTAATATATCACCTATGTGTGAAGAAAGAAAAAAATCTCAGAAGTTAAACAAAAAGATTCAACAGGGACTAGAGCCTGTCATTTCAAAAGGATGAAATGAAATCTGTGTACCACAACATACAGCAGATGTTAAAGGGGAAGGAAGCAGCATAGCTTGATTCTGTATCTCATTCTTGTTCTTAGACACCCTCTTCCCTCAGCAGATCTTTTCCTGTGTATGATCTCCCTTTTTTTAAGTGCCCCTGTGTGGTTGAGAAAATACTCAGCAAACTACTGCAGGGAAAGCATGTAGTTCACTGGAGTAGGACAGACAAACCAGGCATCTGCACATTCCCAAAGGGCTAGAGGATGCAAACCCAAATTATTTTTTCTGTGCAGCATATTGGAAGAACATTCCTTATGCTATACAAACTCTCTGCATCAGCTTGCTTTCTGTAAGGAATTTTCTTCAAATGATTATCTCAAGCTCTTTAGGGCAGCAGCCAGACTGTCAGCCAAAATGGAGCAACTGTCTTCCATATACCTTGACATTTTGTAGATACACAAACATATGTATGTATATATCTATATACACACATATCTACATACATAGATACATAAATACAAGTACATATGTGAGCATATCTACGTACATACAGAGACATATATGAATAAAAAGCTATCAGATCAGTTATTGGAACTGTCCTTATTTCCCTTGCATTTTCCTTTTACTGGGTATTTTAACATCTGACAAAAAAAAGCAGAATACTACGTTAGATGTAGAAAAATTGATATGCAATCAGGTTTTCTGAACTACATAGAATACATCTGTTAAACAGATGTTCTCTTCCTTATGGTTAAATTATATGATGAACAAACTGCAGAAATGCTTCACAGATTTCAGCTCAAATTCTATTCTTGCCCATGGTTCCACTAGATGGTAGTACAGGTCGAAAATGAGACACAAAAATCTGCTGGCTTCAGACTGCAAATTTTGGCTCTTATTTAAGTCTTCTCCTAAAACTAATATCCTGCCCTTCTGGGAACAGCTCTGCTAGAGCTACTTCAACCACCACCCTTCTGCTCTATAGCACGATGCCTGCTAGTTTTCAGGAGTGACAGTGCCTATCAAAAAGATTAGTTATGCTCCTAAATTTAAACATGTTTAAGTACTTCAGGATTGCTGCTCAAGAACTGAAAAGTATTAATGACTTACATTCTGAAATTAATACACTGTCAAATAGCTTTCCAGTTTAACTGCCACAAAGTTCCTGTTTCTGAATTACATTTTCCTGAAGAACCATGACTAAAGATTAATGACATTTTGAAAAATATAAATTAATTTTAGACAATTTTTAGATCAGCTGCAAAGAAGAAAGAAAACCTCACACCAGGTTAGTAAGAAGCCATTTTTCTGCTGTTCTGGATGATACAACATTCTGAAGCAAATCTGAACCTGGGAAAATTCCTAAGACCACTTTATGAGCATCCAGTTTAGAAAACATTTCCTACCTTAGCAGGATGTGAAGGTAAGAACCCAGGCCTGTGAGAATATGCCACCATGCATGAAACTGTGTCACAGCTCCCACCCCAGGAGGCATCTTCTCTCGTAGTGCTCTGAAAGAAACACACACCATGCAATGGGATAATTTTTTCAAGCTAACCAATCTCAAGTCACACATTATTGTTTTCATATCTTAGGCATGTGTTTGACAGGTGAGGCTTCACACAGTCAGGCTGTCAGCAGGGGAGGAACAGCAGTTATACCTTGTACTACCAGTACAGAAAGATATCAGCAAACTGGCTTTCTTACACATTTAAAGAAAACACACACTTCTTCATCTAATGGGTGATCAGTTACTTCTGGACTCAAATTTCAAGGATTATATTTATGGCATTCCATGGTCCCAAATGAATTCTCCCATTCTCCTCCCCAGAACCCTGTGAGCTACTGTCCACAGGATGAAACACTGAATTTAAGGTCTGAAGAGGAAATGGGATCCATCTGACATCACCACTTATTCTCCAGGTCAGTGAAAGCTTACCTTGCCTTTCTGTTGGATACTAAAACAGGGACAAAACGGCTGTTTGGTGAGGAAGCAATGAAAGTAGAGGGTCTGAAATACTCCTCCAACAGGTCGATAACTACTATTTTATAGGGTGTGAAGTGGGAAGGGGCTAAGGGATGGAGATAGAGAAAGAAAAGGATGGAACTCCTTTGCTCTGATTTCTCCTGCTCACTAGGCTTCTGCACATAATGCCTATTTTGGTTAATTTAGAGCAAATGCTTACATCTGCTTGTCTTCTTTTTCTGCTTTCATTTCACATTCAGTCAAAACAAAAAAAGGAGAACAAGAATTGTGTGTTAAGGAAGAAAAATCTGCAGCTTCTATAATACTTAATGCTTGATGTTACTGTGCTCAGTTCTCTGACTAAAACTCAGCTTAGTTTCCAAAGCTGCCCAGTCATAAATATTAACCCAGACCTTCAATTGAGTCAGTCCACCAACAGCACAGTGAAACTCACAGACTGTCAGCCCAGCAAAGCCTCTGAGCCTTTCGATGGCAGGAAATTTCAAAGCCCAAATTCAAATGTACACTGATCCAACCAGAGAAGCTGTGCGCTATACATTATGCTTTGTTGGGGTGGGGTTTTTTTTTTCTAATTTTTTGAAAATAAGCTGCTCATTTAATGAACTATGGAAAAACAAAACCTGAACAAAAAAAACAATTTTGAAAATTAAAACGAAACAGATCAGGTAGGTGGATGATTCACAAATTAGACCTTTAGAGAACAAAAGAAATTTCAAGGAATTGAAATGTATTTTCTCCAAAAGTTCAAATTATAATACCACCAGGAGATATTTATGGCTCTGCATACATCTGACTAAAGCTAGTAAACAAGCATTTTATTTTTTTCAAGCACTATAATCAAACAAGTATTACAGGAAGTATGCTAACTTTTTTTCCCTTTACAAAATGAAGATGGAAAAAAGTGCTTCAGCAGCTGGTGTAATCTTTGAGTCTAGGAACCAGTTCAAAAGCCCCATGGACCAGGCAGCTCAGCAAACTGGGTGAATTGGGGGTTATGATCTCACCAGTGATGTGAGGCAGCTGCAGAAATCAACCCTGATGCCAATATCTGCAAGATCACTGTGTATCTACCCACTTGTGTTGGCAAATAACTTTTCCATCCCATCTGTATCAAGTGTTTCTGGGGATGAGGCACCATGTATGATATTTATTTTTTTTAAAAAAGTTTCAAGAACATTCTGTTGGAGCTAACTTTCAATTGGCCTAACCTAGTGCAGGGACTACAGAGCCAAAAGGGACAGATGGAAAACTCTAGACTTCTTTACAGCACGCTATTATTTGGCCCTGACAAAGCAACCTACTAGGACAATTCTGTACACCACAGATTCAGTGGCATAACAGTGTTTCAAACTGACAATAATGCATTTTCTAGAAGCTGGAATCAACTTTTCCATCTCCTCCAGTTTGTGGCAGAACACATGCATCACAACTGAGTGTTGTTTATTTTGTAACATACACATTGCAATAGGTATTCCTGTAACATGCAGAACTACTGCTTTGACATTTTCTTCAAGAGCAGAAACAAAAAAAACCCAACCCAGCAGGATAAAAACACATTCAGGTGAAATCAAGTGTGAATAGAAAGAGTAAGACACAGATCCACATAATTTAATTTGAAGTTAGAGAAATATCAAAAAATAGACTTATTAATGGATAAAAAACATTTAAAAAACCATGTTGAGTGCTGAATCTAGTCATGGGCAGACTGGATAAAACCCTCATGGATGTTTTGCAGGCAGCATACAATACGTACCATGAGATGGACTTGAATCCACACCACAGGAAAGAGTCCAAATCTTTGTACTAAAAGACTATTAAGAGCTATCTAGATAAAGTGAAAAAACTCACCTCAATTTATCACAGAAAATGTTGTCCACATTCCAGAGAAAAAATCCCATTAAAAATACAGTTAAAGATGTATAGCCTAGACCTCTAAGCCATGGGTATACCCTAGAGAAAGAGAGAAAAGTTTAGCTTAAAATGTTATAAAGGCAATGTGTAACATACATAAATACTATTATATACAAACAAAATGCTTTATTAATTTGGCTTTTCCTCAATATAAAAAAATCCAACTTCAAATTTAATCTATTTAAATATTGTATTTTATTATCCTCTCTCCTGACTTCACATTCTCTGAGACTGTTCTTTTAAATGCTTTACTTCTTTATTTCTAATTGCTCCCCTAAATATTGTGCTCTCCTAACCCAACAAGTGGGAAAACTGTGGTTGGATAAAGGTACTAATTCTCCAGTTCCATGTATAATCTTTCATTAAACAAAATCCACAAAACCAAACATGTTACAAATTAGGACTCCCAAAAAGAGAGGCTCTTTTCCAATAGATGATATCCCTGTACTAGGGGACTTGTTTAAACGGAGTCTTTCAAAACTACTCTTTTGTGAATGTGGACAATTTCATGTTGTGCTTTAGCATTGAGTATGGAAAAATGTCAATTTCATTTGGGGAGGAAAAAATCCTCTCTCAGATATGGGAAACACACTGAAGACTTTGATGAAAGAAAGTACATCATAAATAAATTAACTTTCCCTATCTGCACTCAGGTTGGCGCATGGAATTGTAAACTTCCTACATGAAAGGCTCCTTTCCCACTAATAAGACTAAAAGCAAACCAAAATCCAACCTGAAAAGGCTGCCATAAAATACTGTTCAAGTTATTTTTAAGCATTATGGATGCACAGTTGAGATTCTGGGTTAAAACACATTCCTGAGCTGCTTTTTCTCCACTGTGTGTGTTATACACAGCACATGTTTCAGAGCTGTGAGCACTGGGAACCAAAATGTGCAAAACACAACAGGTACAGCTTCTTTAATAGGGCAAGCTAACCAGATACAAGCTGCACATGTTCACAAATGTATTGCCAATTTAAACTAGCAAAACTATTATTTGTTTAGTTGAATAAATGGTGTGGATCACCATGTGGTACATGGCAGAGAGTACACTGCAATATTCCCAACTCACTGCTTCAGAGGCATAAGCAAGCCTAGGACATAAAATCACACTAAATGGTATGTTAGACATGCTGGTAATTAGGCAATTATAACTAGAATTGTTCATGGAATAAATGGTGGTGTTTTGTGAAGAAATGAGAAAGAGACTGGCATCACTTATTAATAGGGAACATGCTTTGTGGACAGAGAATAACATTTGCCCAGTTGTAATTTTGGGAAGGAAACAGACCCAAGAAAGAGATGAGAAGTGTGTGGGAAACAGGCAGGAAGAGGAAGAAATGACGAGGATAGCATGAGGTAGCAGCCTGGAAGGAATAACATGATGTTCTTTGGGATTTTTACTCTGATCTCAGAGTGACTTCAAGGCATGCACTAATAAATATGAGTGACAGGAAGTGAAGTAAGAAACAAAATAAGCAGAAATCAGGGTTAATGTGTAAGCTGAAACAGGCTTGGGACAAGTGCTATTGAAGGAAATAGAGGAATATTTCTAGCAATGCAGAGAAAGTAAATCCAAAAGTGTGCTTGGGGATGAATATTAGAGAAAAGAAAGGGTACCTTCAGGTTGGCACAGCTTCTCTAGCAGAACTAATTTAAAATTGCAGTAGTTCAGTTAAAATTTAGAAGCAGTCTAAACCTTCTCCATCCTGACTACCTAACCAGTTTGCATAATATAACCAAAATGGGAAGCAAGTGTTTGTAGGGCCCTATTGCAATGAAGTGATCAAGCGAATTAAGATATACACTCCAAACTCCTAAAATTCAAGCAAAATGTAGGTGGAACTTCAGACACAGATTTTGCAGGAGGAAAACAATGAATGATACTCTAGGAGGGAGGATGGTGATGCTGTTGATAAAGACAGAAGACTACAAAATGCTTCAGAAATTATGAGAATGCACAACTGTATGGAATCTGCAGAACTGGAAAAATAGCAGGCCCAAGGGTTTATCCACAAGACAGAAAGAAATTTAATCTAAGTGACTAGAACAGTAATTCTCAAATAAGAACAAAATTAAAATGACTTGAACTTGATTCAGTTTAGTTTCCCTTGGAAGTGAATTAGTGTAATATCACTTAAGATCTCTAGGTTAGGATTAAAATTTCCAGTTCAAGTGTTTGAAAAGTGACTTTAAATTGATGATTTCTTCTAAAGCTGCAACAGACTATCAGTTTTAAGTACTTCTTGCTTAATATAAGTCTCAACATTTGCACTTGGTCTGTGGGAATTTCTTGGGGAATGCCAAACCACTTGAACTGAAACTGCAACTGGGAGGTGATTCAATGACTGTACTTGATCCTTGTGGGTCCCCTCCAGCTCAGGCTATTCTATGATACTTTAAATTCACACCTTTTGTTAAATTCTTCCTTGTGTTCCTGAACAGATAGGTGTGGAACTTGAAACAAACTTTAACAAAAAGCACATTTAGAATGACGACGGTAGAAAGTAAGTAAGTAATTTTCAGGAGCAATTCCCAAATAGATGAGAACACCAACATTCACAGGGGATAGACAGAAATGGGAAATCAATTGAGCCCCTGAGAGCTAAAGCTATGTGTTTATTCCACTACTGATCCAATGCCATTCTCTTTTACCTGCCAAGTTTGTGCCCTGATGATTCTAATGGTCCTCAATGTCTCCTAACATTTCTAATACCTTTAGTTTGTTAAAGATTTATTTAAATTTCCATAATGTATACCTAACTTTATCCAGTCAAAACTGTAAGAAAAAATAACACAGAAGGTTAAATGATAGTTATCTTTTACATGTAATTCTAAATATTTTAGTAGGGAAGAGGAAAATTGTTAGGTGATGGTTCTGCTCTGCAGTGTTACTCTTTTCACTCTCCAGGTATTATCATTAGAGTTTGGACACTAGCAATAGATTTCACATTACCCAGCAACATGCAGACAGAAACTCCATTCCTCTTGAAGTCTCAGGCTAACAGCTGAAGCCACTAACAGAACACCTGGCAGTGAACACTGATTTTAAGTGTAGAACTCTCAGTTTAGTTTAATGCTATCCCACTGGCTTCAAAAAAGCAGAAGGAGATGAGCCATTCCCTTCAACCAAGCAGTGCCCATGAGCTAGCATTATGCACACAGTTAAAGAAATTCTGCCATTGCTAATTTCTCATGTTATGCCCACCAAAAATAAAAAAGCAAATGCTATGTTGTAACTTATAATGCTGAATTAAATAGTTACTTACCATAATACTATATAAACAGATCGTAGAACTATAATGGAAACTAGTGTTCCATACATGACCTGGAAATAAAAACAATTTTAAAAAGAGATAAAATTCAGCAGTTGGATTCAATAGACCTTATAAAATACTACAGGAGTAAAAGATTTTTGAAGCCTCCTTTGTTTCTTTTTTTTATTTCTTAGTCTCAGGGAAATTTCCTCTCGAGAAAGCCTTTGGTTGAAGTTTCGAATAAAAGTATAATTATAAACACTGTGCAGTCACAGGAAAAGTCAGTTGTGTAAAACCACTGTTTCACTGTTCTGAATCAGAAAGCGAACACTAGATGGCAGTAGGAAAACATCTCAAAACCAAAACCGGTAACTAACTCCTAT